CAAATACATTGGAGAAACACTGCCGTGGTCTGTTACTGTGATAGCTCTGACAAAGACCACTGAATATTCCCTTCTTACCTTGAAGCCATGTGGCTTCAAAAGCTATCAGTCCAGGAGGCCTTTTCGCAGGAAAAAAGTAGATGCCTCTTAGACTTCCACCAGGATTAATTTTTCCTGAGGTGGGAAAACTGGTTGGAAAAGCATCAGCTTTTGTTAGGAAAGGATATTAATGTGGTCATGATAACAGAAACCAGCAGAAAGAAAGAAACAAGCAGATTGTGCCTTGCTTTTGAAGGGTACCCTGCATCTCCTTGTTTATGCATTCCCTAACCTGCTTTGGCCAGAATACCCACCTGAACATAAACAGTTTATATCGCAAATGTAGATTGACAAGATTCATTTCGATAGAAGAGGGTTAGGCATTGCTGGCAGCCCTGAATGAGTGATAGCATCTCACACCACAAAGGGTGATAAGCAGTTGTGGCATGAGCTTCTAGTGGTCTCTGCTTCCTACTGCAAGCAGAACACAGCATCCCTCTATAGGTTTAAGAGTTAACCTGCTTCAACCGGTAAAACAGTAAAAATTATTTATTTTTATTTAATTTGATAGAGCATAAACGGATGCCAGCACTCCCATGACCCATCAAGTATCAGAACAAACAAATCCTTGGGTTACACTGCATTCTTATATGCCACAAAGATGGGGAGAAGTGATTCCAGCTGCTGAAGCATCTGGTAATAGCATTTGTGGAGTATGAATGGGGAACCAAATCCCAGCCTGCTTTACTCGTGTGAGTAGTTTTGTGCTGATCTGTTCTTAAAATAATCATCAATTCCCGCTCAGTGCTTTCCTCCATAAATTAGTTCCTATGATGTATAACAGCCACTAAAAGAAGAATTGAACAGGGGAAATTAACTTGCTTTTCAGTAGCAGAAATTTATCAAGGCCACACTTTTTACTGGGACAAAAACAATTCATTTAAGCCTTGTCAAGATTTCTAATTAAAAATCCTCTGCTCCCAACTGCAACTCACAAATACTGAGCTTAATTTGGAAGTTAATAATATTTCCATGCATTTCTGCTACACTCTGCTATTGCAGCTATGACTCTAGTCTGATAACAAGAGCATTGTACCCAAGCCAGCAGTAAATGACTTTCCTTATTTCTGTGTAAAAATGAAGCTTACTTTGTAAAAGAGGGATGGGGAGGTTTGAAGCTGTATTATTGTCTGGGTTTCAGCCCTATTGTATGAGATAAGAAATATCTGCCTCATTATGTGTAGGTTAATGCATCAGATATTGCAGGCATGAAAAGATTTGACTTTTTATTGGGACTCAATCATCTTACACCAGGCCACCTGCTTCCTGGCAGGTCTGCTACCCTTAAGTGTTTGTGTGAATGGCTTGGACCACAGATCACAGCAATGGAAGATGAACTAGCCCACAAATAGAGCTCAACTCTGCTTTTCATTAGTTGTTCATGAATTGGAAGAGGTCTCTTCCTTCAAAGACTTAGGTAGTGTAGGCCTTCATCATCTACAAGGACCAATTTTCTCTTCTAGCAGAATCTGAGATTTTTCTGTTCTGTGATGAATGACTATGATTCAGGCCTATTGTACTTTGACTGGGTTTTCCATGCAAACTACAATATGAATGTGAAAGAAATAAAACTTTCAATCTTCACCAATATGTAACAGCTCATTTTAACTTCCTATAATTCTAGGGGATTATTACACTGAAAAACTCGATATATGACAAATCTCCAATAAGTCAAAACTCGACACCTCTCTTGCATGTCTTGGAAGTATTTAACTTTGAAGCAATTAATATTCTGTGTTCATTATACATCAGTAACATCTTGTCTCTATGCCATCTCATCTTTGCCTACCAGTTGCATCCCTGATTATAATCTGTGAGACAAGAACACACACAAGAACATTTGCTGACCATACAATGAAAGCTAAGCATTTACTTTTCTGTACATTAGCTCATTACCTCTGTAGTCAGGATATTGCCAGAGTTCTCAAGGGATAATGCTTTAAAATAGACAGCTTTAAGGAGAGATATGAGAGAAAAACAAGAGGCATTTTCTGACATCTATAGGAAAGGGTTTTCTAATTATCAGAATCAAATACAACAGGAGCCTTGAGTTTAAAAAAATCAGACTAGATGTAGGGTAGGATGGGATTCCTGCATGACCACAAGGCCATCATTAAGTTTGACCCAAACCATACCTTCCAATATAACAACTGAAAAATAGACTTCATTTTCCCAATGTCAAAAAAAGAAGCATGAAAAAAGCCTCTTAAAAGGAGGACCAGACTTTCTGTTCTTAGTTTTATAGAAGTTGGTTATAAACATACCCAACACTTGAAAAGCAACTAAAGAAATAGCAGCATAAACTTCAAGGAGGAAAAGCCTCAGTACAATGATTTTGTCTTTTTTTTTTTTTTTTTAAGCCAAATTAAAATATTATTATCTGTCAAAGTTTCAGAGGAATTCTCTTGCTCATCTTTCAGTTTAACAACTTCAGGAATCATTAAGAACTAAAACCAAGTTAGAACTAGGTACTAGTGACACTTTTTTTTGCAATTGTTGAAGACTGGCATACACACAAATTTTTGAACTCGGAGCTCCAAAGTACACATGATAGACAGGGGAGCTAGGTCTTTCTAGCAAATACTGCTAATTCTTTCTTTAAAACTCATTAAGATACAAGTTAAGAAAATTCCTCACATTGTTTTAACCTTGACTAAAGTCACCAGAGCCAACATAAGCCTTTCCAATGGTTTCAGAGAAGGCTGAAAATCCTGAGACAGCACCGTCTCTTGAGTTTGATGAGCTATGACTCCTCAGCACTCGTGGCAACACACTGTCACTGCAAAGGTCACATCAGCCATGAAATTCAGGCAGTCCTAGCAGCCAGCCTGCCTTTGGTGACATAAGAGAAACTCCAATGGACTATGAGGTTTTTGCTGTTATCAGTTTGCTCTCAATGCACAGGGAGAGAGGAAAAGAATGAGTCTACCTGATATTCTCTGGCTTGTTTTTCCTTTTTTTTTATTTTAAATTTAAACACTGTACACCTCATATGATGGTTATTTTTACTTATTAAAATGTTAAGATGCATTTTCTTTTTCCACTTTGTAAGAGAAAAATATTAGGTGTCTTGGGCTATTGAGCTGATAATACTTGTGTAAATATGTTGATGTTGGAAGACCACAGTTTGACATTCTGTGTGCTCCTATGTAATTTTTAGGGATGTAACTTTGTTAGGTAAAGCACAGCTAGACAGCTGTAATGAAAAAAGAATTATAACTGACAGAAATAGCAGAACTAATTTAGCCAAGAGCATTTACCCAGCAGCTTACTAAAACACTGAAAGAACAAAAGCTCACAACTGTCCTTCAGCCACAAACTTCAAAAAATCTGGAAAATGCTCTCCACCTCATAACAGTCATTCATCTCAGTCAGTCCAAAGAGGCTGCAGCACAACTGTTCCTCTGGGACAACCCGACCTTGAGCTCTGAGATCATGCAGCCCACACCAGAACAGTTAATGCCCTACTCCTACTCTTGACAACTCCTGCTCAAGTAGCAAACACAATGCCATTTCTGTAACTTTTTGTTATTTTCTATGCATTAAGAATCACTCTTTCACATAGACAGCAAATATCCAAATTTCTTCATACACTTCTAATTATTGCATAGAATTTCATGGATACCTGAGTTCCATCCATCCTGACCTAAACCATAATCATAGGAAATGCACTTTGAAACACAATAGTTTAACTGAGTTAATATTAATTCTGATGAGCATGAAAATAAGAAAGACTGCTGCAGAAGGTTCAGAAACTCTAGAAAGGGTTTCATTATGTGTTACAGCTATTGTAAAACATTAAATTAATAAATGCAAACTTTCTTCCTACATATGAGAAACACATTTAAAAGAGCTCCAAAACTTGTCACTTCCTCTCCTACTGCTGTTTGTTGAGGGGTTGACATCACAAATTTGGTTTCTCTGGACATACGAGTTGATTTTCTTGCCACAGATGAAAGACTTATTGATAATGAAACAGCTTTAAATAAAAAAAGTTTTGTTCAAAACTATAAGCAAACTTGCATGTATAAAACCAGCATAAATATCTAGTTCCACAGATTTGATGATGATGATGATGATGATAATAATAATAACAACAATAATAATACATTTTCTGCTTTCAGACTTAGACCTGTATCTAACCACTACTTAGAAGGGCACTTAGTGCAAAGAACACATTATCTCCACTTCTATATGAAGCAGGTGGTTTCCTCCACCTTTCCTCTGAAACATCTGGTGCTGGCCACATTCAGAGACAAGTTTGTAGAGTTGATTAATATCAAGCCTAATTTGGTATGGTAAATCCTCCAAGACAAATTCCACCATAGTGTGCAGATGTACCGTGACTCTGAAGTAAACAATTTGGCATAATTTATATCATTATAGATTTGTCCCATAGATTGCATAGGTTGGCTGGATTTGAGTTTTGAGCTTTTATTGTAGTCCTTCCCCTTTTTAAGTAGGACTTTATTATATTTTAATTTTTAAAATACACACAATTGTGTTTTCTTTAGCATATTAATTTCTGAATGCACAAATGGGTTTTAGGTAAGGAGACTGAATTCAAATGGAGAAAAATACCCTGTTTCTGAGATGGTCACATAAGTCATGTCAAGCAGTACATGCAGTTCCATGGCCAGGAATCTTATATATGTAAGTGCCTGTTCTCTAAATCTCACAACACAGTTGCTTCTCGTTCACCAAGTGCTGCCAGGTCCTACAAAAAAACCTGAACTGTTGTCTCCAGCCATATTGCTCAACGTAAGGAACACTTCGCCACTAAGAATACTTTTGACTGCCTGCAGCCTTCCCCAACACTCAGCACCCAACAAATGCTCCTTCTCCTTCCTTCACGAATGCATAGAGAAGGGAATTTAAAGCAGAAGCTGTGATTTTTTTACCTGGGAACAATTTGAGCGCTTGTGACCTGTGCAGACAGGAAACACACAAATGGTCCACTAAGTCCTGGGAACAAAGAAAGAAAGGAGAGGAATGAATAGCCTTGTCCTCTTCTTCCTGTGTTTTTTGAGAAGGCACCTGTAGCCTGATATCTTTCCCAAACAGAACTGATTTATTTTTATTCATTGCCTGCTAGGAAAGACTCTGTTCATGTTAGAATTAGCAAATACTTTTTTCTGATAACTATAATCCTGTTTCTCAAATTCCATTAAATTATCTGTTTGCTGGAATTTGGGAAAGGATTAATGGTCAAACAACCATTTCCTCTGCAGGCCTTTGTTTACATGTACATCTGGTAATGATAACGCCACAAAATGGCTGTCATACAAAGGTAGACTTAAAAACCAAAGAGTTGATATAGTTGAGCTTGTGACAGTCCACTCAAAACTGAAACCAAGGCTCCATGAATGAATTGAATTAATTCAATTGCAAGCTGTAGATACAATCAATCTATATTTTACTTTTATTTCTGGATTAAAAATGGATTCTTCCATGCATCCTGCATACAGCAAATACCAAGTATTCATTACAATCAATAGAGTGTATTATATTGTGACCTCTCAGCTGTAGTAAGATCTTTCACCCAGCAGAAATCATTCTATGTGAAGGGCCCTTGAGCACAAATTAAATGAAAGTAGACTGCAATCGAGGGAAATTATAGACATAACTGCTGTAGAATTGAAGTCAACTCTTTCTCTGCATGATCACAGCAAACAGTGCAGATGCTCTCTACTATCAGCATTGATGTAGGTGCCAAAATTCCTTCCTGGTGAAGGAGTATTAATAAAATTCCTTTTTCCTACATGGATGTGTCATCAGCACTACACAAAAACAAAGACAAAAACAAGCCTTGAAAATACAATAGGAGCCTAGGAACCAATTTGATCTACTACTGACGTTATAATACAAATTAGTGTTAATGACAGACATTTCAGTTATGAATAAGAATTCACACATTGCCTGCCTAAGTGATATATGTGGAGTTGTACTAAGTACACTTAAAGGTCTCCTGCTCCAAGAAGTTTGACAGAATCATACTGTTAAAAACCCAAAGCATGTGCTTGCTTAGAAAACGAAATGTCTTCTTTTTTCCTTTCAACTGCTTTTTCAACATAGATTTTACAGCATTTTTTTTGCTCTACAAAGGCAATAAAACCAAGTCACTCCACAAGGTAGCAAAACATCAGAATCCAAGCTAGCTTGACAATAGCCAAGAAGTTAAGAACAGATAATGGAATATGCTTGCCAACAGCTACCAATTAAAATTTACAAAATATTACTTATGACCATGTTCATCAGAGAGAACACACTAGCTGGTAAAATGTAGTACAGTCAGGAAAGAATCATGGAAAGGGCAGAGATTCTATTCTTTTGAGCAAAGACACCAACTTCAGAGCTCTAAGCCTTTAAAAAGAAGATCTAGTTTAGCAGAGGTTTTGAGCTGTCTAGGAGATTGAATAGGTCTTTCATGAAGATAGAAACCTCTCAGTTTTCCCAAATAAATGAATGCAAAATGCACAGTTCCCCTTTAGGACTCAAAGGCGTTACCTGTAGATCACTGAAGGAGCACAGGCCACTTTATTTCAGACACCTGTGAATAAGTTAAAAAAAAGATAGAAACTGTAGAAAATTTTTAAAATCTATTTAAGGATATTTCCATTTAAAAAAATATACTTCACATACATATCAACTAAAAGAATCCTCCTTTAATGCTAACTTTTATTATGTGTTAAAATTTAATTTACAGTGCTGACTTCTTAAAAAGAAAAATGCAAATAAAAAGAAAACATGTTGTCTTAATTGAAGTGCTTGCAGGAAACATACCCATTTCCATCAATAAGAAACAGCATGCTCTGGGGACCAGGACAGATGGATGACAGACAAATGGTGAGAAGTCTGAATTGATCATCTCTAACATCACTTTAGGATTCCCTTGTCTTTCCATTCTGAAATTGTTAAAAGCTGAGAAATGCAGAAAAATGTCAGAGGAGAGGAAACATATTTTTGCCTCTGGAAAAATAAATGCAAGAATGTACCATCTTTTTTATTTATGGCGTCATCTCTTTACCGATTCAGAAAATATTTGCATACGTATATATAATTTTTCCCATTAAAGATTTTGAAAAAATGTAAAGGAAAGTCAATTTACTATTTATCTTAATGTGGCTGAGTCCTTTTCACAGGGAATCATCAATCTGCAGTAATTGGACCCAATAGTTGCATCCCACACATTTCCGAGCCAGCTGAATCTGGCAAGATTCCAAATGCTGTCTTTATTCTGGGTCTCTCCAGAAAATTTCTGGATATGTAAGTCCTGTCTAAAGCCCTCTGAAAAGGATATCTTAGTCCTAGAGCCCAGGAACAGGAACTAGTGTTAAAGCTCAACTCAAGTCTGATTATAGGCACATTTTCCCAGAATTTAGACCTAGCTGTAGCTGTTCCAGTTCATGTTAAAAATAGATAGATAGCTAGATATCTAGATAGATAGATAAATAAAACTTTCAATGGAATTGCCTACAAACACTTCAATTTTAGCTACTGCCAGAGCATTGCAACATTTGCAAAAAAACCCACACAAATATTTGAAAAGCATCTTCCTTTGGAGCACTGATCTCTTCCTTTGCAGAAGGATGTTGGACTTACCTTCTTTTCTTTCACATTTCTTTTCTTAAAGGAGATATGTCTCCTTTACAGCATTGGAGCACTATAATTTTTCTTCATCATCTAGTTGAAATTTTCCATGTTTGCCCCATCTCTCCTTCTTTGCCAGCAGCTGAGCAGGGATCACATAAAAGTCAGTGATTCTGCTAGTAGTACCCCTTCTATTCTACTACACTGGAAACATCTGCTAAGACCTTCACTGGCCTCTTACTGCTTCCTAGATGCATTCACCACTACCACAAAATAGTTACTTTTTCTTTACATTGAAGGTCACAGTCATAAATGGCATTCATAAAACAAAGAAAAATTATTGTCCTGAGAGGGGCATGTTCCCCACACTGTCACACTATTGCTCCTGTCTTTTTGTACCAGAGAATCAATAGACTCTGCTGGAGGAGAGCTCCTGCAGCAGGTTATAAATTGGCTATCTCAGCAGAGCACAGGCCCTGTGCTATCCCAACAACACGAGGCTGCTTCCAATCTCAGTGTCAGCCACCTGTGGTACCCCTTGTGTGGTGCTGCCCGTGTGCTTTCTGGCCATCAAACTACTGCTCCTCCCTGCTTTTGCTAATTGGAATTTACGGGAGCAGGATGTGTGTCGCATGCAATTACAGAAGCATCTCTACCTATGGGCCTGCAATCTAAAAACATCATTTTGTGCTAATGTTTCCTTACAAAGGGCATTGTAATATGCAATAATTCATCAGCACAGTAATATAAACATGAAATTAAGGCATAAGGAGCCTCTCTAACGTAATGATCTGTGAAGCAGATAACTTCACAAGATATTGTCGAGGGCTTTCAGGCTAGAGAACACAGATATTCCTTCTTGAAACAAGAAGTCAATACTTCTCCCTGGGCTCTTCATTTGTCAATTTCTTTCACAAATCTCGGTGTAGTCACAATGTGGGTCCCAGCTAATTTTAAAACACCTTGTAAACTGAACCTTGTCTGAAGCTGAGCTCTCCAGATTGGGTGGTGAGGTCAACTCACCAAACATCCAAGCCCCCAGCTATATAATCAATCATGAAGTCAGGATTTCAGGCTGTGTGTATTTTAAATACAACAGCAGTGAAACACTCTTAGCCACCTGACCTGTTGGTCCTGTAATAAATAGACCCACTCAGCCAAACCCTGCTGTCACAAAGAGATTAATTTAAATTAAAATAACCCTTTCTTCCTCTTCTCATCAGTTACCACCTAATAGATCAGCTTGTAAGACATAAACAAAAGAGCAAGTCAGAAGCAATTAAGGAAGATTTTGTGCATGCTCAGAGGTGGCCACATATGAGACCCGAGAATAAAATTCTGAAAAATTGATCACACACAAATCAGGAAACCTGCAATCTGACTATCACAACTTCTTTCCCCTCCCCACTAACAAATCAGTTTCTTAAGATTAGAGAATTAGATCTTTGTGTATGAGTTATATAGAAAATATTTGCACCCTCTGTGTATTATTTTCTGAGTTATACCTTGTTATTAGCTCCTTTCAGATTGCTCAATATCTGCACCAATTGCCTCCATTCCTTGCTGCTGATTCTCATGACTCTTGCCTTTAATTTGTTGCCTAAAGAAATAATTCTGGAAGCCTCCTGAAATATCTCACTTTCTTGGCGCATAAAATTAGGCATTTCTACAAAAAGGGCTGCAGCTTCATCAAATAGCCAAGTTCTAAACAGGATTACTTGAGTCTTGATTTGATGCCTTTAGGCTCTACAGTTGTCATGTAAAGAAATCATTAATAAAGCAAGGGTAATTTTTACACCTAGAACAATTCACTCTTTGCTTGGGGAAAAAAAGCATTCTGATTCATTTGAGCTAAATTCCCAAGAATCCCTGGGAAAAGGGCCAAGTAGTAAAAATAAAACCATTTCAGCACAAGACGAAAGAAAGCAAAGTAGAACAGGTTTTGATCTTATCCTCTAGGCAGCTGTTGACCTACAGCAAAACAAATTGTAATCACTTTTAACTAATCAGATTGCTGCCTTTTTCAGTCTTATATTTTCTTTATCTCTGCAAATATAAGGAGTAGATGGAACACTGGATTCCTTACTGTGGTCACCTTGTCCCACAACTTCAGAAAAAATACAAGAGCATTATTTTCACATGCAATCAACAAAACAATATTACCTAGGAATAAATTTTTAACTTTACCATAAGACAGGAGAAATTTCACTCTACCTTCTCCATACTAGAACTATTAAATTGCTTCATCTATCTGAGAAGCTTTGTTAACTGACTAAAGGAGAGTTTGCAATTTGCTTAATGGAATACAAACTTACCAAGAAGCTTCCTTAGATGATCTGTAATGTTAGCAAGCTACCAAATAAGTGTACTTAACTAATATGTTAAGTATATCTGGAAGATGGAGTATAGGAGGTGTCAGAGAGACAAATCACATATATTCATGTCTGAGTATTTCTTCTCTTCAAGAAGCTATCAAAAGGATCCTTTTAATATGTCAACATTTTTATTTGGAATTAATTTCAGCCTCTTCTATCTCCTGAAACACTGTTGGTTGGGGGTTTTTTGGCTTTTTCTGAGGAGTAGGAAGAACAGGTCTATAAAATTCCTTCCAGGCTGAACAGCAAAAACAGCAGCTGCAGGAGGTATGAGTGGCTTCTTGGCAGAAAAGCATTCTGTCATACATCAGATCCACACTCATTAGTATTAGTGAGCATTGCTGCAGTCAGAATTAACTGTTATGCACGGGACTCAAGGATATTTTAGCCCCAAACAATGAGACAGCATATGTAATTTAATAATGGTGGCACCAGCTTAGCTGCACTCCTAATTCTTTTGAACAGGATGCAAAACTAATACCCTCCTGTTAGTGTAGCTGAAGACTTCCAAAACATTAAATAGGAAATATATCACAGTCTTGTAATAGGGCAAAGTAAAAAAAAAAAAAAACCTGATGTGAACAAAAAAGCAAAAAAAAAGGACCATTATTTGGACGTACTTCTACAACATACTGAGCACAGACTGAACATTAAATATTAAGCATTACTAACATTAAGAGGTCTCATTACCATTCAGGTAACATCTAACAGAATCAGGCCTTTTACGAGGGGATAGTAGCCACAGGAAAGGTCATAGTAGCATTTTTAATCAGTACACCTCAAAGCACCACAAGAAAGATGCCAGTATCATTATGCCCATTTTACAGATTAGGAAATTGAGGCAAAAAGCTTCATCAAGATTTGACAAGCTACTATTAGAGCTAAAAACAGAAACCAGTTCTCTTAAATCCTCATTAAGTCTAGTCACGAGCTTTTCAGGAGAAAACGGAGACAGTTGTTCTTGGACAATGATAAAGACCTGACTTTTCAGAGGTGCAGTCAGCAAGGGAGACAGACACTTAAAGCCTACAGAAATAAAGCACTTATTTTTTCCCTTCTTACAGCCAGCACAGTCACCAGATCAATAAGCAGCCTGAAGTGCTAAGACTGTGTTTCTTGGCCTGGTTTCAGATGGCATTCCAGACAAACAAATCCAACTGCCCCCACTGAGTTGTTCTCAAGTGAGTGGGATTCCCTTCAGACAAAAAAGTTGTCTGCATAGGACAAGTTATAGGATCAAGACATAATAGCAAGATGAATTATTAATTTTAGCATGTTTAAAATTGCAACATCCCTTTAAATATAAACTATTTCCTATGTAGTCTTGACAGTACTCTCATTAAATGCTAATAGATGATTCTGTAATAAACAGAACCTTAAAAATTAATCACATTTATATACCTTGGGATGTCATGAGTAACAGTGTTTTGCAACTTAGAAGTGCACAGAATCTTTTTTTTATGGTGCATTGACAACTCCTTCTTGGTGTTGAACAACACCTCATTATACTTCATGTTACAAATATATTTGTTTTGTAGAAAAATTTGCAGTTATTCTATAATTTTCAAATGTTAGTTGTACAATT